CTTTCTTTCTTTCTTTCTTTCTTTCTTTCTTTCTTTCTTTCTTTCTTTCTTTCTTTCTTTCTTTCTTTCTTTCTTTCTTTCTTTCTTTCTTCATTAATATATTTCTAATACATTGCAATATTTATGTATGATGTTAAACACCTTTCTAACCTCACTATGTAAATGAAAAAGGCACAACAATATGGCCACTATCAGGTTAAATACATGAAAATGACGATCTCTTCATCATGGTGCCCATTAGTAGGCAGCATGTGAATATTTTGTCCTTAAAGTTAATGTTAAAAGCAGGATAATAGCAGAAGTGTAATTACTTCATACACATAAGTCAGAGTATGTTAAAACTGCAGGTGCTGTGGGGGGTTCCTGGTCTCCAAAGTCATTATCTATCCAAAGGGGTTTAAGGAAGGAACCATCAGCAACAGGGTCATCATGACCAATGCTCAATGATGCATGTGGGAAGTGGAAGCTGGCCCATCTTTTCCAGTCCAATAAACAAGCAGTATAAACTGTTTAAGAACGTAATGCTAGTTCTGATAAAAGGTGGGAAGAACACAAAGTGCTTTTCTTATTATGTATACTGCTGCATCGCTGCAGACCAGTCGAGGGAGGACAGTAGACTGTCTGGTTAAATGCATTATGTTTCTATTTATATCTCTTGGATGATATGGCGTGTTTGCATTGCTTGCCTGGAAAATGTATAGCTTCAAGATGCATTATGATGGTTTATATTCCATTGTTCTGGTGGATAACCTCGGGCTCTACACTGTATGAATGGGTTGCTTTGACACATAGACCCTACCTAAGCAGCAAACAATGAGCCTTTTCATGGAGAAGGAAAAACTGCCAGATTTCGTTTTATCTAGCCCCTTTGAGATTTCCTGGTTTCCACATACCACGACAAACATTTAGGGTTGTTTAAGGCAGCAAAAGGTGGACCAACACAATGTGACAAGTGTTCAAAAAGTAATCTCCGTTACTTTCTGAATCCTGTCAAACTGTTGCTTTAAAAATTTAGTTTGTATTGTTTAATCACTACCTGGTTATTTTAATAAACACATTTTTTTCATAAAAAATATAATATTTCAAGTTTCTTTAGGTTGTGTTTGGTTTTAGCTAGGTGTTTTTTTTTTATTTTCAGTTCGTGTATTCCTGAGAAATGGTCCAAATCTCTACCATATCACATATTTTGAAATATTTCTGCAAAAAAATAACCTTAGCATGTTCTTTTTCTCTTTTTGGCACTTTAAGAGTTTCCTTTATCAGTTTAAATCTGCCGGCTAAAATATGAATTCAACTGCTGAGTAGAGACAGTCGTGTGGAATCCCCTTTCTGCTTCTTCTGCATGGCATTCACTGATAACAATCCACAGCACACCTGCAGGGAAATACCTTGGCTCTGTGATGACCTTAGTGGTGTTGCTGGAGGAAAACGCCTCATTCTTCTTTTGGACCCAAATTTTCTGGACCTGAAATCTCGGCCTTTCATTGACCTCGTGCATCCTGTTTTCTACTAAGCTGACCTTATTCTTATTCACTTTTCTTCCTGTCAGATAACAAAACATAAACTTATCTTTGCTGTCAGCTGCATTTTTCTCTGCTGAAAATGTTGCTGAACTCTAGAAACAGTCATTAACACCACTGATAAGTCTTCGCTGAAACCCCCATTTTTTCTTTTCTTTTGTTTTATCAGATTGGCAAAGAGCACCTGGGTCTAAAAGCCATTACTGAAGTTCTCCAAGACCTGCAATACAAGGTGAAAGCAGTTTAATGCTGAACAGGAGGGATTAATTGATGCGTTAGGAGTGTAACTCTCCTTTTGCTACTGTATTTCCTTCAGGCGAAGAGCAAGATAATCCCATGTTTTAATCCAAACACGCTCTTACCTGGTAAGATAAAATTAATTGATATCAAAGTTGCATTTTCAGGTGAAAGTTTAATTTGACAAAGTCATGCAAGTTAGCAGCCCAATAGAATAGCGTATGGGAAGAAACTCCGCTTCCAGAGTAAATTACAGACACATAGAGTGAAATAATTAGACCTATAACAGGATTATACAATTTTAGAGCAATGTAATAAAATTGACAGCTTTTTTTTTTTTTTAGAAAGAACCTAAATGTACCTAAATTATTATTATTATTCTGTAAACCAGAAATGATTAAAATTAAACATAGAAGCTCAAAATTCAGACATGATCACCAGTGTTTGTATGAATCCTATTAAGCAATGTGGACCGTCACTACATGCCTTTTGCAGACATCAGAGACGTCCGCTGATGTCTGCACAATGCTGACTGAATATTTGACCACTTCCTTAGAATAGCTGCAGTTCAGTTGAAAATGGTTGTAGGTATTTCAAAAGATCCAGATTTGTCTGCTTTATCAATTTTGAAAACAAATTTAAGACTAAATCTCACCCAAAATTACAAAATTCCAGTTCCAAGTTGGAAAACAGTAAGGTTTCCTATTTGTTGTTACTAACTGATTGAAAAAAAAAGAATATTTCTTTCCATTTTATGAATTAAAAAGCAAAATGAACTTTGTGCCTGCAGTCATCTGCATACTTGTCTCTCTCATGGGACAGCAATCTCAGATGCCCAGACCTCCCTCTTCCCACACACCTCCTCCTCCCAGTGGGTCAGCGTGGAGCACCCGCTAATGGAGACATCCAGGGGGATCAAATTCCTGAACCACCTATGCTGAGACCTTATCTCGGAGGGAGTTATGGGGTGTGCAGAGAGAGCCGCTTCAGTCCCTTGTATCTCAGTATTAAAATGAGATATTACACTATCTGTGCAATGTTTAAATTGGATGCAAGTGCTAGCAAAAAATTTATAACAAAAACCAGCAACCATGTCAGAAATATCAATTCTCCCAGTTGGAATTCCAATTTCAGGCAGCATTCCTATATCTTTTATGGCTGAGTATTAAGAAAATCCAACCTCTTAGTACAAAGATAATGCAGGATAAGAACATTATGCCAGCACACACGGTGGTGGCAGAATAATGCTGAGGGATTTTGTTAATCTGGTACTTCACAGCAACTCATTAAACCATTCAGAGAAATGAAACGTGGACATCATTTAATTGCTCAAACAAAACAACAGTCATGAAAACACAGTCGAATGATTTTGGAAATGGATAAAGCATTCTAATATGCACTGTACCTTCTGAAAGGGCACTAATTGCAAAAATCAGGCTCTATACTATATCTCTACCATCTGAGAGTTTCAACATCTAGGCTGAATTTTTAATAGCCACAAAGGTTCATCTGTAAATGGCTAAGGGAGATTTTACCTAAATTTAATTCGGGTGTTAATTTGAGCTTATATGTATTAGTTCAAATTTAAATCACTGCAGTTTTCAGTTTGATTATAGGTGTACCATTGAAAGAACAGTTCAATATGAATTTTTTTCTGCTGAGTGAATGTAAACTACTGACTGGGACAGTTCAATGTTTGAACCTAGATAGATAGTTGTTTTCCCTTTCTCACTATCCTTATTTTCTTTCAATGGAAAGCAATTCTTTATTATGTTAGCGTGACAATAAAACTGTTGTTTAGCACAATAATTTTAAATTTGGTCCCAAAAGGAACAAATATCTGTGAGGAACCTTTCCTAAAGGGACCTAAAAAATCCAAAATGGCTTTGGTAAAAAGACCAGAGGTCAAGTAGAAAGCTGTTAATGGACTATTAATGCTTTACAATGTGGCAAATAAATTATTAGTTTGTGCGAATGGTGATTTTCCTCATTTGCAAGCAACGCAGTAACCATTCAATTGTGTTTGTGTTTTTGTTTGTTTTAAATGTTTCAGGGAAAAGGAAATCTTTAAATAAAATAGGGGAAAAGTTAGTGTTGCATTGGGAAAGGAGGGGTCAAACACGACTTGTTTGGAGAAGCAAAGATAGTCTAAGAATATCTCATATCAGATTACACCGTGTACCGGTTGTAATTTATAGTTTAATTAAGCCATCTGTTCCTGTAACTGCACTCTAACTTGCTGCTTTCCTCCCTTTTATTATAACTTAATCCACGGGATTGATTCTTGAAACTTTAACCAATTTTGTATGTCAAAATGTCAACGCAGGGTGGAGGTTGGTTGAGGATCCAAATGCAGAGATTAGGAGGCTGAGATGAGTTTTGCTGATTTAATGAAAAACTGATTTAATGAAAATCCAAGAACAAAATACTAGAAACCAAAAAGCATGAGACGTCAGGGCACAACACTCATCAGTAGCCAAGTAACAATGATAAACCAGCAAATGGTAAGTGAAGAGGAGGAGTATGTATGGTCGACAGAACAAAGACTGGACTAATCAGCTGATAGGGGGCAGGTGTGGATAGAAGTAACTAGAAGGGTGCTGGGGGACAGGAGACAGGCACAAGGGAACCAACATGACCAACAAAACAGAATGGCATAAATAACTGAAAACTCAAAAATAAGTCCAAAAAGGAAAACCATAACACTGAACCTTTAATAGATGCCAATTCATCCCCATTTGAATACATTTCTCTGAACAATCTATCTGTTTGTACATTTTTCAGAAAAGTAAAATAGGAAAAAAGATCACATTCTTACAAATGCCAATACCCTCCTTTAATTAAGGATTAGTGTGCTCTTTTTTTGATAATCAGATCCGTTGTTGAGAGACTACTGGGTGTATGAGGGATCACTGACTACGCCTCCTTGCAGTGAAAAAGTCACCTGGATACTCTTCCGCTATCCCCTCACCATCTCACAGTTACAGGTAAGTGGTCAATGTTAAGAAATGTTGATTCTGAAACAAGCAAAACAGTTCTGCTCTCTGATCTAGAACTGGAAAAAAAGGCAAACTGTATTTAGACGCAACAACATTACAGCAAAGGACTTAGCAATGTAAAAACTGATTGTGGTCAGCCAGCATGGGGTTAGCCTTTCCTGAAGACCTTGCATTATTTATTTGAGGACATTCGTAAAGGAATATGCAAGCCATTGTTCTGCAAAAGTACATCAGAATAAGTGTATAAATATGACAAAAATCATCAAAAATGAATGCCTTGTCAACAATAGTTCAACAAACCTCTGAAGGGAATCTAACTCCATTTCTGTAGGGACAGGGTCTTGTATTTCAGATGACACCCTGGTTCAACACACCTGAATCCAATGGCTAAATTATATGGAGCAGTATCAGACTCATATTCTGACTAGAATTGAGTTGGACTACGTCAGGCTACAAACACGTAGCCTAACTATGTCTCTTAAGGTCTGATGATTTAAACTCCTAATATGAAGCAGCAAAGTTTGCTGCATCTTTAGTCTTCATGTTTCCTGGTTGGAATTTATTTTCACAGCTCATTATTTATTTAACGGACACATTATGTTTGAAAACATGACAATAACTAACCACACACGTTGTATGCGAGACAAATAGTGTTAACAGATAGATTACTACTAAAGACCCTCTGCTAGTTTAAGACATTCCCCATCTGGTGGAAGGAGGTAAAAACAAAAAGGCAGGATGGGCTTGATGATGCTCTGTTACAATGAGTCATTTGAGTTTGTGTAATCTATAAGTTTCTAGATGAAAAGGCTGGTTAAATGGGTTTATCGTCCAATTTGAGTCCATGCAATTTAAAGATGAATGGTTGTCTCTGCTCAAATTTATGAACTTTATGTTTTTTTTCATAAATTCAAATGAAAATTCAAATGAACATGTGACATGTTTTTGTTGGCACACAAAGAATTGAACTTTTATTTTCCAAAAGCAATCCAGAAAGAATTTCATTTTGTCATTTTATCTAGTCCAAAGACTTTAGAGTAATTCAGTAAAAGTGAAGTAGTATCCAAAAATGTGCTTTAAGGACTGTTTATAGTGTTTGAATAAAGGGGCCAAGAACACATCCTTGTGGTTCTCCACCAGGTGACATGGTTATGTCCATTTTTACAGCTTTCAAGTGGGTATAACCATTTTTGCGTTGTGGATGATACAAATGGGAGAAAAATGTTAAGTTGATGCAATATTTGGATCGTTAAAGGCCTTTGAATGGGTTGAAAGTGGAACACAAGACCAACCAAACAAAGGTACTTAGTGAATCCAAGTGCTGAAGAAACAGGTGCAGCAGCCTGGCAACAGAGTCGTCTTTGTTCCTTTTAGTCTCGCTGAGTCTATATGAGAGAGAAATTTTTTACCTTAGTGAATATCTAAGTAAGTAGCTTCTTTTAAAAGGGTGGATACTATAGCAGTGCAGTATTACAGACAGAGTAGTGAAAAAAGGAAGGTAATGAGCTCCACTGGCTTGATGTAGGTGAGATGCTAGCAAGCTGCAGAGCTTCAGCCTGTTCGAAACAAGCAGGCTGAAGCCATGCATAAACCCTGCAAAGAGTATTGGCTCTTTTGGGTCAGATGGAAGGAGTGATCTTAGTCATTTATGAGTACACCTCTCATCAAATATGATGATATGATATGATATGATGATATGATATGATTTTCCATACTTAGTCTTAATGATAAACAGAGGCCTATCTACAGAGCAAAAGAAGGTTACAACAATTATATCCCAGCTGTGACTAATCCTTTGAAGACAGATTCACCATCAGCTTTGTTTACTCACCTTAACTTATAAAGCGTTATTATTGATATCCCTTAACAACTAAACATGCAGCATAATCTAGACCTATCTCTGACTTATATTATCTTACAGTAGCATGAACTCAGAGTTTTCTGGCATTCACCACAGCAGGATCCAGGAAGCCTTTCCACCCACCACTAATCAATAAGTCTGTCATGTTGCCTTTGATTGATCTAAACTTTAATTCAACCTTTGCCAACTCGTGGCTTTCTTCCAAAGGGTTTCTGTAATAGATGAAGGTGCTAACCCTCTGACATTTATTTATGTCTTTCATCTTGGCTACACTTTGGCCTGCTGACCCTTTGAAATGCGAGCACAAAGAGTGAATTCTGGCGGTCCTGCCTGAGGCAACGTGGGTACGCGGCGGCAGAGGAAAGCAGGCAGAATGCAAAGACAAAAGCTGCTTTGTTTTAACACAACCTACAAAAAAAAACATCCATTTATTCAGACAAAAAACATAACAATGAGCAAGTTTTGTTGACACCAACATAGATGTTTGGATGACATAGGTTGTTAATTAACTTGTGCCAGTTTTCCTCTGTGGTTCAACTTAATGGAACAATGAGAAGCTGCTCAGATGAGCTATCAGTGGTTCCTGATTTCAGCTAATCCGGATATGGACTAATAAATTATGACTGACTCGCTTTGATAAAGTGATTATTTCCAAGGCAACTCCCACTGTTATAAAACAGATCTGGATATGTGAATGTCAGCTGGTAGCATAACTGATGTTACTGTTATTAAGTGATAAAAACATAATCATCTCTTCTTCTCTTGGGCTCATCAGGTTTCTATAAACCTTTTTTGAGAGTATAAGATATGAGCAGTTTATCCTGAAGCTGACACTATAGATTTTCTTTAGACTAGAGAGAATAACATTTAATATTGGATTAAAAAATTAAAAAAGACAAATTAAAAGATATATGGAGTTTAGTTTATCATAACTTAAAGGCACATTTTTTTTATTGTTATTTCATTGCATTTTCTTCCATGTAAATACTTTTGTATATCAAAGGCATACCCCAGGTGCTGCATGTCATGTAATAATTAGTTTTTTCTTTCTTTTTATTTGATTCTTTTTTTATTTTAATAAATAAGAAAATAGATAAAAATAAAACCAGCATACAAGTCAATACATGGAACCAGAGCTTGATGATCTGTTTCATGGTCGTTCTCATAATTGAAGGTTGATAGCTTGCACCCCTTCTAGCACATTCATTTGGATTACGAAAGGAGAGAGAAAGGTTAAACTAGCAATTATTTAAAAATCTTGATCATCCATCCTTCGCTGCTTATTCCGTCAGGGAGGCAGTGGGGCCTGTGCCTATCTCTGGCACACTATGGGTGTAATGGTCATCTGTCCGTTACATGGCAACACAGAGACGCACAACCATGCACTGACACTCACAACTGCAGACAATTTAGAGAAGCCCATCATCCTAACAGTTATGCTTTTGGACTGTGGGAGGATGCTGGAGTACCCGGAGAGAACACATGCATGCACAGGGAGAACATTCAAACTCCATCGAACCAGGGACTTTCTAGCTGCATGGCAATAGCGCTACCCACTGTTCTCTGTGCACTCCACAATCCTTATCTATTTAAAGTTTATACACAATAAAATCTATTAAAAGCACATGGCCATTAACGCCTAATGTGATGTTTAAGGATTACTGAGTTGATACTGAATGGTCTTGTCTACCTAGATATCCCCTCTAACCCGATTCAACATCACTGCCTGTCTACTCAGTTGGTGCAGATGCTGATGCTTAAAAAAAAAGATTTTTTAGAAAACATAAAGAAAATGTTAATCCTCTTTGAATGGCCTTTTTAATATTGCACTAAAGTCCAAATCTCTTTATGAAGTCTCATGTAATTCTAGATAACTGGTGTAGTAGGACTTCCCCTCACTGTCTTAACTTGTGGGAAACAACCTGTCGGGTTTTTTTTGACTCTGTGTTATCTCTCTGTCATGTTCATATATTTCTGTGCATTTTTTCTGCTCTATATTAGGAATTTAATTGTCAGTATTCTACTCTGTGATCATGCATACGTATGTGAATAGCGTGAGGTGCACAGAAATAAATACACTGAACATCAGATATATACTTACATTGCTTATTTAGGAGCATGGGGCTTTATCATCCAAAAAAACACCAAAACCTCGCAGGTACTGCCTTCTTAGAAAACGACTTTAAACATCCGGCTATTATCCATTATTAGACGACGTTAAGCATGTGTGCCGAGTGGGGGTGTACTCATAAATGTCAGACAACGGTTGCCATGCTCACAGGATTTGCACTTTTAGAGGGTGCTGTAAAAGTTTTCAACGCCAACCAATGACAAAACTGTTCAAGTAATGCTGTTTGTTTTAGTGATGTGGCTGAATCTCTAAGGTACACGAGTGCAGAAGTGATGCAGTCTGCAGCTGCTACAAATTCACATGAAAAGGAAGTATCTTTTTGAATCTTTCTGTTTATGGATCGGTTTTAAACATGTTGGCCACACAGCAGAAAAAAAAACATGCTTAGCCTGCTCCTCTGCTCAGCTTATGTAAGCAAACATATAAAGCTTGATAGAAACGTGTACTACGGTGACATGCTATGATTAATTCAGTTTTTCATTGATATTTTAGAGAACTGAAAGTTGTTGTTAAAGGAAACAATCCAACAGTGTCATTATTACCCTCAGATTCCCATGCAGGTGCAATGCGTCATGTAGGGAACAGAAAGACACAAGGCCGTGACCTTTATTTCGTTATTTTTTGTACCCAAAATATTCAACCTTTTTGTTTGCAGATTGAGGAGTTTCGGAGGTTACGGTCGCACGTCAAGGGGGCGGAGCTACCTGAAGGAAATGATGGGTTGTTGGGGGACAACTTCCGCCCCACCCAGCCTCTCAGTGACAGGACGGTCCGCGCTGCCTTCCAGTGACTCTCCCTTTCCTGTACCATCTCAGTAAAACTCTGGGACCTACAGATGCAGAAACAAGTACGTAACAGTTTCAACAATGAGCTCAGCTGTGTCCTGATTACCGAATAATCTATAACCTTCTGGAATCCACTTCAATGAAAACTTTTTATAGTTTGAACTCAGATAACTTGTTTGTAATGTCATTTTTTTATTCATGAAAGGGCTGTTTAATGCATCACCTATAAAGATAAAAAAAACCCAGAACACGTTCCACTTGTCACGACACACCATTTCCAGTGTTATTCATCTGCTTGGCACATTACCTCTCAAGGGACACGTTTTTAATGGTACAATGGTACATTGTCCCAGAGGCAACGGATCAAGCCCTGGAAGAACTAACCCAGTTCACTTACTAATCTGGGACAAGGTTCCAGATTTAGCTCAGGAGCACTGCGACAGGAAGACAAGGCAGAGTTAAACGCAGAGATACAATGAATAGAGACAGCAGTACATATTAGCTAATTCCATGACTTCTAACCAAGAGGGGTCAATAAGCAGGTAATTTTTCCGCTGAAAGCTGCAAAACAGGAAATGTAAGTGCAGGAAACTATTTAACCTTACAGATCACTTATATCTTTGCTTCTTTTGTCTGTTTCAGTGGTTGTCTGTTTTCGGTTTTCTTGTGATTACAGCGGCAAGTCTTTCTGAATATGTCTCTACCATCTCTGTACATCTAGTGACTGAAGTGTTTGTCCATTCTCTTTTGCAAAATAGATCAAGCTTACTAAGATTAGTACAGAGAGTGTTTGTGAGAAGCAATATTTTCAAATATTGCAGTAGATTTTCGATCTGGGCCATTTTGACACATGAATATGTTTTGTTTTAAACCGGTCTGTTGTAGCCCTGTCTTTATGTTTAGTGTCATTGTCCTGCTGGAACGTGAACCTCTGCCTTACTCTGAAGTCCTTTGCAGACTCTGCCGGTTTTCCTCCAGGATTACCCTGTGTTTGGCTCTATTCATCGCCCGTTAACTCTGACCATCTTCTCTGTCCCTTATGAAGAGGAGCATCACCAGAGCATGATGCTGCCACCACCATATTTTACAATGGGGATGGTGGACTCAGAGTGATCTGCAGTGTTAGTTCTCCACCATACATAAAGTTTTGCATTTTTTTCCACAAACGTTCCAATTTTTTCTCATCTGAGCAAAACAGCTTATGGTTTATGGTTTTCTTGTAACAATGGCTTTCTTCTTACCACTCTTCCATAAAGACATGTTTTTTTGCAGTGGAACACTAATAATTGTCCCATGGACCGATTCCCCCAACTCTAGCTGGGGATCTATGCTCTGCATCCAGAGTCACCATGGTTCTCTTGGCTGCATCTTTGATCAGTACTCTCCAGCCTGTACGTTTCGGTGGACAGCCTCGTGTTTGTAGAATTACACTGGTGCCAAACTCATTCCGTTTCTAGATGATGGACTGAATGGTGCGATATGATGATCAACACTTGGGAATTCTTTTTATAGCCTAAACCTGCTTTAAACCTCACCAAACCTTCATCATGTATTATGTTTTTTTGCTCCCCAACATCTTATCTAACCTCTGAGACGATCATAGAGCAGCTGTATTTGAAATGAATTTAGATTATACACAGCTGGACTATATAAAGTCTTTTGCTGGACTATAAAAAGTTATTTTTTGCACTTAAAGAAATGGGGCTGAATAATTTTGCACTCCACACTTTTCTGTTTTTTTCATTTGTAAAAAAAAAAAAGATTTAAAACATGTATAATTTTCTTTCTACTTAACAAATGTACACCTCTTTGTGGTGTTAAGACTTTATTGTAGTAATTTGACATGTCCAAAAGTTAAAGGGGTGTGAATACTTTTGCAAGCCGCTGTAAATCAACTAGTCTTCCCACTGAGCCAAAGCTACTCATAGCCCTGAAAATCTAAACTTAAGGGTTCTCCTGCATATATTTGGTCATTGTATTCATTGAGAGCCTCAGACTATTTCATGCTGATGCTGACTGTAGATAGCAGTCGTATTCTCTCAGGTAGAAATAAAAGAAAGTTAGAATACCCTGACTTTTAATTATAACAGTAAATAGGAGTTTTTTAACATCCTTCTAATACTTCTTGTGGTGCAGTTTACTCTTACTGATAATATAAGGCATCAGGTGATTAGAAGCTGAAAAGATTGAAGAAAAAAAGACTCTTTTTGACAGAATCCCCTCATATAGGGTTGAATCTTTAAAATTCATATACAGAGAAAACAGATGCAACGAGAGGTATCAGCTACCAGAAATACATGGCTCCTAAAAAAGCAAGATGATTCAGGTTTTCTTTGTTATTAATATTTCTACACGTTACCCTGAGCCAAAGTACAAATGAAATAGTACATATCTTTGATTTAAAGATTGAATACCATTGAAATGGTAACGGATTTATGTTTTTAAATCTTTGTATAAACCTTGGAATGTACGGAAGAGGATTAGGGCCACTGGAAAAAAAAAAAAAAAAGTAAACTGATTTTTACATTTTATTTCAGTTTAACATGGGAAAAAAGTCAGAATTCTGAGATTAAAGTCAGAATTCTGAGAAAAAAGTCAGAATTCTGACATTAAAGTCAGAATTCTGACTTTTTTCCCCATACTATACTGAAATAAAATTAAAAAATCAGTTAACTTTTTTTTTTTTTCCAGTGGCCCTAATCCTCTTCCGTAGGAATGTGATTTGAGGAGTTTGACTTTTAGACACAACCTGAATAAATTCACATTACTTTGTGTTAAAGGGGCAGCAAGATGGAGAAAGAAGGGCTCGGTTTAGGTGGAAAAAAAGAGAAGCACGTTGAAAGGAAGGAGGTAGAGGGTCTCTGTGATGACGGGAGGCGGGAATGCAGAGGACTGAAAAAGGAGGAGGCCAGTGGAGCAGAATGGGAAGAAACAACAGAGGGTTATTGTTGTTGGAGGGAAAACTGATACTGATGAGGTCCCAGCTGCCTAAGTCCACCTGAGAAAAAGATGAGGCAGGGGAGGACTACTGGGGAAAAACACTCACCCTCTATCAAACAAGTCATGCTTTTCTCAGTGCAGGTATTCAAATGTTAACCTGCTTACAGCCTCGTAATGATGCTGTGACCATAACAGCAAAGAGGTTCATTAGTTTCCTCCCTATTCTCAAAGATTGCAATGCTGACATTCAACTCTATCTTCAAGAAACCTTCAGAACATACCCTTGAAATTAGATTTTTATTTTCGCTTTGTAAAAAAAAAAAAAAGTAAGAGGAATATCAGGTGGGATGATTGCTGCTGGAGAAGCTGACCCCTTTAGAAAAAGCAGATTGGAGCATAACCAAAAAACATTACCGGTATATGGATATATTAAGGCAATATCTCAAGACAAATTCCAGGAAGTTAAAGCTTCAGTTTCTACAAGAACAGTGACCATGAGTGTTGCATTAAATTACTTTCAAAGGGACTTAAAATGTTCTAAAGTAAATTTATATCATCATCATAAGTTAAGAAATTTATATAGACAGAAAAAGGACATTTTCTAAAACCTAACTAACCTAAAAGAGAAGACGTTTTGTCTGATCTAACTATATACAGTTAGAGGAAGGAGGTCAGATCATTAAAAATAATTACTCAAAATAATTTGGGAGATTTTACTGAGCTTTTTATCTTTTGTTATCTGTTTTTTAAAAGGCTTGCAGGCTTTATGTAAAGATGGAACAGTTTCCTTTTTCTCTCCTCTATATGGTTTAATGTGTGATACTGAGGTAAAACCCCGTTAAGCTGTTTTTTTTTTCCCCTCTCAGCTCGATAAAGGAGCAAAACTGCTGCTGAAAACACGGGAGTCATAAAAAGGCTATAAAGGCCTTCTCTATGCTTTTTAGCCCCAGAATGGCTGCTGGGCACATCTGGATTTCTCTTAATCAGATCCATGTTTTTCTTTCTTTCTTTACAGGGGGAGAGAAAACAGAGGGGTGAAGAGAGGAGTGGAAACAGGAAGAAGGAGGGGAAATTAGTGTGATAACAGACCCAAGGCAAACTGAACATGGACAGAGCCTTTTAGTATTACACCCTTAATGTGTGTCAGCGCGTGTGTAGCCTTCTTTTCCTCTAACGTTTCTCTCTCCTCCTCTTCTCTTTGCTGCTGGTTCGTCATCCTTTTCATGTGCATATTTGTCTTACCTATGGTTTAGGCGCTGCTGTATCTCCATGCTATGTGTGTGTTGTAACTAAAACGATTGGAGGCTTCCACAATCTGCTAATCTTTGCTGCAACAACAGGAGGAAGTGTTGACCACAGATGTTAAAGAGGCCAAAACACACACAGCTTCACACATCATGTTCTACATGCTTTGATTCATACTTCCTCACTAACTCTACATTTTATCAGCTAAAAATCAGCCGATTATTGTTCCTATTAGGCCTTAATTAATACATTTAAATGAATCAAATGTATTTGGAAGGTAAACTGTGTATAGAAATAAATTACTTTAAAAATCAGTATTCCAGCTCAATTTCCTTCTTCGTGTTCAGCAAATTGCTGATATGCTGAATAAATTAGTTCAGTACTATTTCTAACATTTCTGCTATGTTTAAGCGAAAGTTGAAGCAAAGGCAAAGATTGGAAAGACTGTATGCTTCTTGTTTTATGGTCCTTTTCTTGTCACACTGAGCAGGTAAAATTTATAGCTGCCCAATCAAGTTAAATAGATGCAATAAAACTGCACTTAGGTTCTCATTTCATACTCTAAATATAGTTTTACCATTAGCACTGCAGTGCAGAGATAGAGGGACATATTTTCTAACAGGTGAGCTTCTGCTGATGCAGGAACTGCATCTCTCTGTTTTCTGGAGTACAAAGATTTGGGTTGATATTTGTTTTTTCACTCGATAGTTGCACATTTTAAAACCAGATCAATACCTTGTCTTTCCCTGATTCAAATATTTAAAACATGTTTAACTGTAGTCAGATTGTACGATTATCATATGATGTCTATATGAATATGTACTGCACTAATTTGTCATTGATTGTGCAAATAAAAATAGGAACATGTGTACTTTTTTGACCCAGTCGCTTGTTCTTTCTTCTCTGCTTCCTCTTCTTGCTCCTACTTGCTTATCACTGAACATGATGCTACAATTTCTTTTCATTTCTTTGACAGATATCTTTTGTTTTTAGACTGCAGCCTTTAGTTGCACAGCAACCACCCTATCCACAGACTTATGTATTTATTGGTGTGAAGGTCGAGGTTTGCATATTGCAGCTCATTTGTTTGAAACATGACTTGCAAGCATTGTATGAAATTACACAAATCCAGGAAAAGATCCTGTGAAGACCATCCACGTTTATTCACATATTATGGATTGGTTATTAAAGTTCTTCAAAGAAAATATTTCAACATCCTATTTTGGTTTTGTTAAACCATGATCTCATTCTGAGTATAGAAATAGGTGTGTTGGTTGAATTTGACCATCTAACTATTTGCATCGCTTCCTAAAAGATCTGAACTTTTATCGTGCATGTTTATTTATTCAAGCAGTTTTCTCTTTGTCCTTTATGTGCCTTTTTTGGAAGAGCACTTAAACTTCCTTGTAAAATGATCTTAATAAAATTTGTTAATAGTTATTTCTTTAAATTAATTGGAGTTTTTCCCTGAAACAAAGAAATTGCATTCATGTTTTTAACAGATTAACACAATATTTCTTTCTGGTGTCAATTGGGCACCAGCAGGTTAACTGATTTAGGGACAAAGTAAAAGTGATGGGCAACATCTGAAAAACATTCCAGCTCTTCTTTTTTGAAAAGATGTATTTTAGCATTGGATGAATAGGTATTTTTTCTCTGATAAAGGTCTGAAGGCTGCTGTCAGCAGTGCTACATTAAGTCCATGGGTCTGCTGCACCCAGATTTTAAATCTAATAGAAAACTAAAGGCAAGGCAAGTTTATTTGTATAGCACAATTCAGTGCACCAACAATTTAAAAAAGAATTAAAGCAAATAAAGACTGTCCCAGAGATAACGTTAAAATAATAATACCTTAGTTAACAGTTGAACTTTAACAACTGAGTTTCGACTAAAGTTTAAAAAAAATCCTCTTGCAAAGAGGAAAACTACTAAATAAATTTTTGCTAAAAAAATATCTTTAAACTTCAACTTTAAACTCATTACAGAGACTTTAGTATTCCGATTTTCAAGTGGATCTCAGCATAAATGTCTGGGAATATATTGGTCAAAATCAAAAGATTGAATCCAGAGCAGGAAGATTACAGGTAGCATTAGTGGTATTTCCTGTATGTAACTTATTTCTCTTCTGTTGTTTTGCCCAGCACTATCCTTTTAGCAATTTATTATTTTATTTGTGTTAAGTTCTGTTTAATGCTGCCTATGATTAAATATGATCAGAATTGCTCAAATATTTGTTAAACCCTTTTTTTGAGTTATCAAGGTGTGTCAGTCTAATCTGCTTGACAGCAAACATCAGTTAAAGACGTGAAGCAGTGTCAGAGACAGAGGAAGGTCTCAGAGATTCAGTCTCAGTTTAATTCAGTTCAATTTAAATTCAGCTTATATACTGCAATTCACAACACGTCAACTCAAGATACTTTATAGAGTCAATTCAATCACATCGTAAAGACAGACCGGTTGAAAGTTTTCTATCCAAGGAAAAACAGCTGATTGCATCAACTGGTTCACTCACACCAAGCATGCTTGTAGCGACAGTGGGGAGGAAAAACTTCCTTTGAATAGGAAGAAACCTTTAGCAGAACCAGCCATCTGCTCAAGGCCAACTGAGATCCAAGGAGATAGAGGCATTGATCTAGAAATACTTTCTATGTTAGAAGAGGTAACCGTAAACTAGCTCCACAGTTGGCTTTGTATGGGAAAGAAACAATTGAGCAGAAAGTGTCTGAGCCAGTTTTAATTTTATAGGGATAAAAGAGAGCACACACAGTTAGTTACAGTAAAAGCTTCTAACAGAGTTTTTCTGTTGCACCCCTGCTATTCGATCCATCTGTTGTCTTGTGTAGTTGGATGTGTGTATATATATATATAAAACTGTAACTGGAGCATGTAAGAAAAGTAATTTCCCCCTGGGATTATTAAAGTATTTCTGATTCTGACTTCCCATCCCTCTGAACCAGCTTTCCAGTCCCTGCAGGAGAAAGCATCCCCACACCATAATGCTTCCACTGCCATATTTGGTGGAGCAAGTTGTTTTAAGCATGATAGTGAGATATAGAGCTAACTCCCAGATAGTGTTTTACATCCAAAGCACAAAGTTAACCCTTGATCGCATCTTTCAGATGTTTTTTTTTTTTATGCTATGTTCTGATCCTGACCTCTCTCTCCCAACGACCGTGTTTTTAAACACAGCATTTTTAATGTTTTGTCTACAGAGCATCCTGTGCTACATGCCACCCAATTTACATGTATTTGCTGTCTTCAGTAAATATTGTATTAATTTCTATTGTATGGAATAGAAATGAATACTTTTGTTCAACCTGTTAAACTGTGTTGCTCAGCATTTAACATAAATACTATTTATAGTTATCTATTGATTTGTCTGATCGCTAAACAAAGATCACTGCAATACAGATTTATTTTTCAATCCCTCACATACCTTGCATCATTATTTTAGTAACTTTTAGGGTGAAAAGTGAACATGGTAAGGTGGAATGAATACCTTTGTAATACACTGCATACCGGACATAAAAACATAAGGTCTACACTTATTCCTGTGCAAAGATTTTTCAAATGCTTTCTCTAAATGTAGTCTTCTGTTCAGCCGGAAAATCACAACTGTAGAACTTTTGTTTGCTCAAAATAGAACAGTCTGCAGGAAAACTAAAATAAGGATTTTAAAATACAAAAAAACAGGAATCGGAGAGAAACCTGTTCCCCATGGCAATTATCTGTACTGGCAACCCTTCGCTATGATCCATTATAGCAGAATTTAGATGGCTCCAAAAAAGAATGTATGCATCAAAAGATGTCCAGATGAAAAACCTCTCAGATATCAGGTCTACAATCCTAATTGCAGAATAGCAGAATTGCCCATACAGTGTCTAGAGGATTTGCTTTATTAGATATCCATAAATAAAACTCACAGATTTAATCTGTTAAGTAAAAAGTTGAAGATCATATGCATCTGTCACTTTTCAAGCTGATCCCAGCCGCCTCTCATCCGTGCAGCTACACTGCCATCTGCTGTTAGAAGGATCAATCATCAATCAGGCCCCGGTGCCACAGATAAGTGACTGCAAACTCTGTTCAGCTTATGTTTTATGTAAAACCACAGAAGAAACATGTATGTTGATTAATCAGTGAGGTGCAAAAACAAATCAAGGGTGACAGAGGATAAAATCAGGGGACCTGCTGACCGACAGAAATAACCTGGAGTTGGGTGGAGTTCTTCCTATCTTTGATATAAATCACAAGTTCTTGTGATTTAACAGAGAACAATTGAGGCATATCGATGGGGGAAAAGCTTTTAGTTCTTTTTATAGAAAAAAGATCTGCAGATGACTTTTGGTGTTAAATCGTAACTTATGTCCCTCCTTAAATATATTATATATCACTCCAAACAAATAAAAAAATTAGCTTAATTGAAAATCCCATACGTAACTGAAAGATTAAAGAAATACATATAGAAAACATTATTCTATCCATGATCAGGTGATCATAGTATCAGGGTTTGGTGGAGGTTGGTTGAGGACCCAAATGTAGAGATGAGTTTGCAGATTTAATTGAGAACTCCAGAGGCAAACATCCAAAAAATACAGAAGAGCAAAAAAACAGCAGATGCCATTAAGAGTCACACATGGGGAGCAAGGATACAACAAAGCAACAAAACAACAAGAAACCAGCATTGAAGAGGAGGTGTATATATGGGGAACAGATCAAAGAATGGTCTAATGAGCTGATATGGAGCAGGTGAGAAAGGAACTAACTAGAAGGAAGGCAAGGAGAAAAGAGACTGGCACAAGGGGGCAACAGAGAAACTGACAGAAAACAACTACAAAGACACAGAATAACAAAGAAACTAAAAATAAACTTAAACAGAGGGCAGAACCCTGACACATGGAAGCTACAAATTAGCTAAAGTATTTTACAGAATGTAGAAATAAGCATTTTGGGCAAATTAGCAATCATTCAATTTAGTAAATTCATAAAAAAAAGTCAGAAATTATATTTTTTATCTTGCTCCACCATTTTCAAATTTATTCCATATAAGTGTGGAATTAACTGTTTGACCATGATTTGAGCTCGAATCAATCTTTCATTTCTTGTTCTAACATACAGCTAGTAGGGCGTGTGTTCATAAACAATATATAACAGCCAAAATAGTATCTGATTAAACAGGATATTTTATCACCCTACCGGGGAGGGCAATAGGCATCTTAAAGTATCAGAAATATAAATTCCCAGCTGGCTGGGAATTGAATATAACAGTTAGCCACATTAATATGGCATCCAACCTGGATGGGAATTGAATACAATATAAATCATCACAACACAGTAAAGGTACTTAATACATTTTGATGATGCAATTTTGGTGGTAGGTTTATCCATCCATCCATTTTCCGTCATGGGTCGTGAGAGGTGCTGGTGCCTATCTCCAGCTGTCTACGGGCGAGAGGCGCGGTACACCCTGGACAGGTCGCCAGTCCATCTCAGGGCAAAACAGAGACAAACAACCATTAATGCACACACTCACACCTAAGGTGAATTTAGAGAAGCCAATTAACCTAACAGTCATGTTTTAAAAATAAAAATCTTTAATAAACAAACAGGATAATATCTTAATATGTAGAGTTTTCAATCAAAAGCTATTTTATTCTTGTGACAAACTGATTCAAACATATGTCCAGTTCCAGCTCTGCCAGTTTATAGGTAAATGGGATGGAGGGTCTGGATGCAGAAGCAGAATGACCTACAGAAGAGAAGAAATTAGACACTTATTGCGCAGTGAAATTTATTACACTAATAGTACCATATTTGGTTCAGGCTGCAACTTAAAAAAGAATATATGTAATAGCAGTGGAGGGAGTATTCCAGAATTGTCACTTCAGTTATTTAATGTTTTCAATATGCTTGAAAAGATTACATTTTAGATGTAATGGTAAATTTATCTGTTTTATTTTAAAGAAGCCATGTTATCTCTTTATTTTCTCCTTCTAATGTCGTTACTATTTTGTTGTGTAACTTTTTTTTTTTTAATTAAATTTTTTAAGTTCACTGGATCTATCAGAATTAGTTTTGAACAATCATGTTTTCACCTTTAAGCCATGAATTTTCTTCCCTTCTGTTAATAAATCGCTCCATGGCTGGCTGATGAGGACTTTCC